ATGGGGGGGAAAAAACAAGAGGGAGACTATGTATACAGTATTCAGCTCCTGGATGAAAGGCTAGATATAATTGATTAATTAATTAGCTAGCTAGCTAGCCACACTAGGCCTTCTTGATTGACAGGTTAGTAATCCACCTCCAAATTGTGCTTTAGATGAGAACATAACTTTGTTCAGCAACTCCTGCTGGGCAAAGATCTACCATCTGTACTAAAGTTCAGACTACAGTTATCAAACAGGATACACTGCTCTATTTGTGGGAGGGGAAGCGGAAGGGAAGGGATTCATCTATAGTGGGGCCCAGAAATTTTTCTGCTTCCTTGAATTACGTATATTAGACATAGTTCTCTCCCTAAAATCAAATAGAAAAATCCTTAACATTTCTATACAGTATATTAATTACCTGCCCCCACTTTATTTCAGGGCCATTCTTGAGGCTTTCTTATAACAAGGACTAGACAGAAGAACCTTCTAGCTCATTCAGCCTCTCTAAGAAAGACCACTATCTGTAGTTTTAATGTCAAGATTTTAACCCAAGTCTCAAAATGGCATCAACCAATCTTGCTGCAAGTGCGGATTCTTCCTTTACCAACCGAACATGTGAAATTAAAGCATAAAAGGGAAAGTTACCAGGCAGAATTAAAACTCCCAACACTTCAGCTTAAGTTCTTAATATGACAGTGATTTGCTGTGTCATTTAAACTTAGCCCTCAGCTGCTATGGCGCAATGTTTGTGTGCCATCGCACCGCCTTTGTTGCTGAGCTACAGATTAGCCTGCCAGTGTGATGTATGAACAGGAGCTGGGATTTAAGCAAACACAGATATGTATGTGCAAAGGCTGAAGAGCTTTTTCCTGTCTCCTTCCGCATCCACACAATTAAATGATGCCTAAATCTAGCTGTTCGGCCACCTGCTCCACAACCTAGCTAAGAAGCTGAGGAAATCTATGTCAGGGTGGATGAATGCACTCCAACTCAGAGCTTCATTAAGCCGTCTGGGTGGTGAGTGATTAAAAGGAGATGCTGATACCCCCTCCGGCTGCATTCCGCACTGACTACGCGGCAGCCTTCAATCCACGCCCACACACACACACACACACACACACACACACCCCGGTCTCCTGGCCAGCAAGTGCGGAAGTGAGGAATTTCCTGGCACCAGATGCGGAACAGGAAAGCGGAAATGAAAACAGCAGCAAGCCAAAATAGATTGGGGATGGGAAGAAAGGGTGGGTGGGCGCTCGTCTCTTAAAGGCACAGGATTATCCATAGGCTAGAAAGGAAATAAATTTATTGAAAACAGATGGGTGAGTGTTCAGGCAGGGACATGGTTTCTCTTTGCTTCTCCCCTACCCCACCCCCACTATCCCCATACTCCTTGCAAATCGTCTTGCCCCATAACATACCCCCCCTCCCTTCATTAGCCCATTCATAACATTACACTGCATGGGAGCAATTTAGGACAAGACTGTAGGTGGCCTCTAGTGGTACAGAAAGAAAAACAATGCATCACACAGCTTTCCTTTCGAACAAAATGCCAATTCCTAGCTCTGTCAACACAATGCATGCTGTGAGAATTATCACCACCCCACCTATAAGCAAGCCTCACAAAGTTGAAAAAATATGCTCAGTTGTCCTTGAGAACTGTGTCCATAATAGAGCTCTACAGATTTTGCATCCTTTTCTTCTTGCTGAGACGCTTTTAGTAGTCTGAAAGCAGGAAATACTGATTTCCCGAGCGACAGAGGCAATCTGCATTTGTGACAACGCAGTCAGTTAGCATTCCAGAATGAATCCGTATTAAAATGGATCTGAATAGAAATCCTTAGAAAGAAAGCCACAGTATTTAGCTGTATTGTATTTCTCAGAATTTTTTTTTTGCAGATGTGCTCAATATAATCTAATTTTCTTCCTTATGATCTGTATAGATCATATAGATCTATATATATGATCATATATATATATATATATATATATTATGATCATATAGGATACGCCAATAAATAACAGATAGTCCTCTGCATTCCCCACAAATTCAGGCCAGTCTTCCTTCCTACTGAATGCCAGACCATGTACTCTCCATCCTGATATGTACCCCTTTCCTCAATATCCCAGCTGTGCCATTTCCTCAGGCTGCTTAGCATTGTCTGGAAGTAGGAAAGCTGCAAGCAGGGAGTGGGAAGGGGAAAGAAAGAGATGGGAGCGCTCATGAATCACCAGATGCAATCCAGCCTTTGGAAGTTAGCCAAAGAACACTGCTTTGAAGCAACCAAAAGGCCTAAAGCGGTCACTCTTTCACTTATTAATTGTTCAGTCTTGTTTGAGTAAAAAAAAGATAAAAATATTCTTGAGTCCATGACTAAAGGTGCTTCTAATTACTTTTTCAGAAATTAAGAGTGTTGTGGCCTCTCCATTCTATGCCTGCTCTAATACAAATTTGAACTCTTTTATACAAAGCATATCAATGAGGAGAATGCTGTTAAATACTATACTACATAGATTAAATGTTCCTACAAAAAAGTAGTTGCACTGCATAGCGAATGAATACAATTCTCTCTGGATTCATCCAGTTCTTGATATAACTGAGGCAGTGGTGATATTCAACCGGTTCGCACCGGATGAACCGGTAGCAAGAATTTGGTGTGGGTTGCCGAACCGATATAAGTTCTGCCTAGCCACGCCCCCGACCCAGTCGCTCTCTGCCCGGTGCTCACTTACCCCACCCTCCTGACATTCGCCTAAGGTATATATTTCTTTTTTTCCCCTCCCGATAATCAGCTGTAGATAAGATCAGCTGTGCCGGGATTCCCCTTGCTGAGGCCCAGGAAGGCAAAAAATGGAGGGAGGAGCTCCCCCCTCCATTTTTTGCCTTCCAGAGCCCCAGAGGAGCCTTGGGGGAGCAAAAATGCTCCCACCCCCCAGGCTCCTCTGAGGCTAGGAAGCTCCCAAAACGGGTGGGGGCTGCAAAAAAAAAAAAAAGCTACACCCACCCAGTCACATGGCCATGCCCACAGAACCAGTAATAAAAAATTTTGAATCCCACCACTGAACTGAGGGTATCTTTTTAAAATTGTACTTGGAAAGATCCTTGTCTTATATACTTCATAGATAATAGTGCTAGAAATTCAAAACTAGTACATAGCTCTACAACACACTATTTTGATTAAAAGCTATGTGGAAAGTTGGCTACTTCTATAGATACACAAAGCTTTATATTTCTCAAAATATTGTTTCTGTTGTATGCTAATTAGGTTCAAGTACCAATTTTTAAAATACACTGTTCAAAAAAATAAAGGGAACACAAAAATAAGACATCCTAGATCTGAATGAATGAAATATTCTTATTAAATACTTTGTTCATTACATAGTTGAATGTGCTGACAACAAAATCACACAAAAATTATCAATGGAAATCAAATTAGGCAACCCATGGAGGTCTGGATTTGGAGTTACCCTCAAAATTAAAGTGGAAAAAACACTACAGGCTGATCCAACTTTGATGTAATGTCCTTAAAACAAGTCAAAATGAGGCTCAGTAGTGTGTGTGGCCTCCACGTGCCTATATGCCCTCCCTACAATGCCTGGGCATGCTCCTGATGAGGTGGCAGATGGTCTCCTGAGGGATCTTCTCCCACACCTGGACTAAAGCATCCCCCAACTCCTGGACGGTCTGTGATGCAACGTGGCATTGGTGGATGGCGAGAGACATAATGTCCCAGCTGTGCTCAATTGGATTCAGGTCTGGGGAACGGGTGGGCCAGTCCATAGCATCAATGCCTTCGTCTTGCAGGAACTGCTGACACACTCCAGCCACATGAGGTCTAGCATTGTCTTGCATTAGGAGGAACCCAGGGCCAACCACACCAGCATATGGTCTCACAAGGGGTCTGAGGATCTCATCTCGGTACCTAATGGCAGTCAGGCTACCTCTGGCGAGCACATGGAGGGCTGTGCGGCCCCCTAAAGAAATGCCACCCCACACCATTACTGACCCACAAACGCAGAACATTTTCCACGGCATCTCCAGACCCTGTCACGTCTGTCACATGTGCTCAGTGTGAACTTGCCTTCATCTGTGAAGAGCACAGGGTACCAGTGGTGAATTTGCCAATCTTGGTGTTCTCTGGCAAATGCCAAACGTCCTGCACGGTGTTGGGCTGTAAGCACAACCCCCACCTGTGGACGTCGGGCCCTCATACCACCCTCATGGAGTCTGTTTCTGACCGTTTGAGCAGCCACATGCACATTTGTGGCCCACTGGAGGTCATTTTGCAGGGCTCTGGCAGTGCTCCTCCTGTCCCTCCTTGCACAAAGGCGGAGGTAGCAGTCCTGATGCTGGGTTGTTGCCCTCCTAGGGCCTCCTCCACGTCTCCTGATGTACTGGCCTGTCTCCTGGTAGCACCTCCATGCTCTGGACACTACGCTGACAGACACAGCAAAACTTTTTGCCACAGCTCGCATTGATGTGCCATCCTAGATGAGCTGCACTACCTGAACCACTTGTGTAGGTTGTAGACTCCGTCTCATGCTACCACTAGAGTGAAAGCACCACCAGCATCCAAAAGTGACCAAACCATCAGCCAGAAAGCATAGGAACTGAGAAGTGATCTATGGTCACCACCTGCAGAACCACTCCTTTATTGGGGATGTCTTGCTAACTGCCTATGCTTTCCACCTGTTGTCTATTCCATTTGCACGATAGCATGTGAAATTGATTGTCAATCAGTGTTGCTACCTAAGTGGACAGTTTGATTTCACAGAAGTGTGATTGACTTGGAGTTATACTGTGTTAAGTGTTCCCTTTATTTTTTTTGAGCAGTGTATGTTCATTGATGATAAACTTATTTCTGGACCACACTGATTCTTTTTTCTTTGGAGCAGATCCTCCTAATAGTCCAGGAAATACACTGAGAATTCTTTGTTTATATAGGCTTGGCTCAGAGTTATACTCAAATAAAATGCATTCTTAACATGTTAAGAAAATTTCACAAGATAGCCAATGCATATTTAACAATAATTACTTTATTGATATAGCAAAGTAAATATTCCCAATATGCTGCAATGGTATACCTGTGCAATTAAATTTATGTTGTGTAAGAAAACCTTTCACTTTGAACAGGATAACCTATCTACTTGGGAAGATGAGTTTTAAAGAAAAGTGTTATCTTTTCACCAAGGAGGAGACATGGGCTGAGGATTTTGAAGATAGGACATCACTACAGCAGAAATAGACAACCTGGAAAAAAGAGAGTAGTGACAGAATTAATGTAGAATCCTTAACATTTTATCCACAGTAATATCAAAATTAATTACAGTTATCCCAACTTTCCAAAATAGGTAGTCAAATTAAAAATACATTTGCTCATCAAACTCAATTTATTTCTTGAAGTGTTTTCCTCAGCAATAATTAGCAACTGAGAAACTAAATGAACACTTCTTGCCCTTGAAGCCTCAACTATCTGCCTAATAGTACTGGCTCACAAAACAAATACCTCTGCTCATCCCGCCAGAGCTGTGCGGGCTGGGCAGAGCCGGGAAAGCGAGCTGTGGGTGTGCGCCCACCTGCCAAGCGAAAGAGCTGGGCCGACCCGAGCTTGGCTTCCTTCCCAAGTCCCTCCAGCCCGAACCCAAAGGGGCCACTGGGAAAGGCCACCCGAGGCAGTGATAGCACCCACCCATCTGTGGACAGGGAGGCAAGGCGACGGCCTGCGCCACGTCCTCCTCCTCCGAGCTGAGCCCCGCTGAGTGAGCGCCTCTGCCCGATGCCCGTGCTGCTGCGTTTGGAGCTGCCGGCGCATTTGGAGATGCGTGGGGACGGGGACGGGTTGGGTGAGGGGTGGAAAGGACAGGTGGCTTGGGGCTCTCTCTGCTGGACCTGTCGGCCAGGGAAGCAGCGCTGCCGTCACCTCGCCTCCCTGTCCGTGGACGGGTAGGCGCTATCACTGCCTTGGGCAGCCTCTCCCAGTGGCCCCTTTGGGTTCGGGCTGGAGGGACTTGGGAAGGAAGCCAAGCTCGGGTTGGCCCGGCTCTTTCGCTTGGCAGGCAGGTGCGGACCCGCAGCTCACTTTCCCGGCTCTGCCCAGCCCTGGCGTGGCCCTGGCGGGATGAGCGGAGGGCCCGGTGGGGAGGCGCTCGCTGTCTTGGCGAGAGCTCTACCGCCGGGCAGGAGGACCCGCCTGTCAGCTGTGCTGGGTGCCCCAGGCGAAGCTCTTCGCGCTCTGCCTGGCACCAGGCAGGGATGGTGGCTGGACGCTTCTCCCGGGGTGGGCCAATCCTGCGCTGCGGCTCCGGGAGATTTGCCTCCCCACATGGGGTTGGGCTGCCCTCTCGGGCAGGGGAGGCTTTGTCGTACTGATAGTAGGGCATCATTTTTAAAAGAACTAGCTTTGCCTTTGAAGGCGAAGGGAAGGCTGCGACAGGAGCGCCTGAAGCCGAGTGTCTCCGCCGGGCTCCGGTTGCAGGGAGGAGCACTGGCTGGCCGCGTGTGGCTGCGCCAAATGCCGCGGCGTTGCTCTAAACACCGCGGCAACACAGGGAGAAGGGAAAGCAACGGTGGCGTAAGGTCTCCCGATACGAAGTGCCCCACCAACGCCGAAGTCAACGCAGGCAGCACCATATCCGGGTATGCAACAAAAGTACTTCCTAACGGCAAGCCCCCCCCCACCATTCTCCCCCATTTTGCATGTTTAATATAGGCCTTAATTTGGGGGGAGGGGCTTAATTTGATTTTATGCCTATAAAACATGCTGGAACTTCCTACTGGGGGAGGCCATATTGTTGGAGAAACACGGTATCTACATACATAAATCTTATACACAGAAAACTTCCTCGTACAAAAATAAGAGTACAAATATTTTTTTTATAAAATAGCAAAAAAAGAAGAAAGAAGGAAATACAGGTAGTTGGTAGTTGCATTGTAAAGGAAAGAGAAGAAAAAAAATGGAAGGAAGGAAACTGAATAAGGATGAAATAAGCAGGGGGGGGGGATAAAAAGCAGCCCTGTTAAGGCTTCACAAAGAGTTTAAATTGAATAAGCAAGCTGAGTCTCCCAAGTGATCTAATTTTCAAATGCATTGATATTTTCAGGCATTTCCTCACTGTAGAAATAAACATGAAAATATCTGGAGATCAGATCACTGAGGTGACCTGGAGCTTGTGGTGATTTATAATCTTAGGTTATTATTCTCCACATGTAGAATGTGAATGTCTGTAGGCAAATTTGTCTGAATCCCTCATATACATGTTAGAGGAAAAGAGGCAAATGGAGATGCTCAGGCAACAGAAGCTTACCACAAAAGGTAGTCTTCTAGATTCCATTATTTGGCCATTTTTCTTATCAGTGGGTGATATACCCCACTGCTATTAAAGGAGTATAAACTCAGCAGAAAGGAGGAAGTGAAGGCAGGTTCAATTATCAATCTACCATGAAGCATCAAGGCTACACTTTGATGAAAAGCGAAACAGCTTTTACTTTGAACATAAGTATTATAGAATGAGTTACTATCAGAGGGAAAGCTACTCAAATCAAAAGAAAAACAAGAATCAGTAAGCTTTTTGATCAAGTAGACTATTTGGAATTTTGAGAACTTTGTAATTAGCATTCCTGAGAAAGTATTTCCAGGGCAAGACCTATGTATTCAGAAATGAATACCATAGCAAATCAGACATAATACAAGTCTGAAAGAAGTAAAAACATGGCTTACATGAAACTGCTCATCATCTGTTTGGTGTCTTCTGAGCTTCTAGAATTGGCAAAACTGATAAATGAGCAGTAGACAGCAATCCAAGCACACCATTTTAACTGCAAACACCATGGAAAAATATTAAGAGAACCTCATAATACAGGTGTGTATCACAGATACATCAGAGTTATTAAAGTTTAACAATATTATAAATATTCCACTTTCTTTTTCCTATGAGTTCAGGAACAGCCTGCTGTTTTAAAAATTAATAAATATTGCTAAAGCATAATCATGACAAAGTTACTTATAGAATACATATGACAAAAATAAAGCCATATTAATGAACTCAGACTTTTTCACTTGGTTCTATTGAATTAAATGCCATTAACAATGAGAAATATAAACTGAAAATTCTAATTTCAAAAGAAATATATTTGACATATGAAGTCGTGTGATTTAATAATCTTAACAAGAAAAATATATATGTTGAGAATGAGTACTGCAGAACTTCTAAGGAAGACTAGAAAAAGACATCAATGGTTATTCAACATTTTATTAACACATTCAGAATTGAGACAACCATAACCTAAATGATTGAGAATCTTTACAGACATTCAGATAGAAATTTTATTATTTGTGAAAACCACATTTCAATACACCGTTATTACAATGTAGGTCTTTATGGATTTTTCCTAAACTTTGTATAGTGTCACCTCAAATAGAAACTCATGCAAAGTGCTCTCTCACTCTCTCTCCCCCTCCCTCTTTCTCTCTCTCTCTCTCTTCCTCCCTCCCCCACTCAAGATTATTTTAGTTAAAAGATTTCATATTACAGGTGTGGACTACTATTATGTGAATAATGCCTTGGTCATCTGTAAAAAGAAAGATGCTGATGATTGAGGATCAAATAAATGATACTGAGTAAGACTTAAATTTACCGTATTTGCCGGCGTATAAGACGACTGGGCGTATAAGACGACCCCCCCACTTGGAGGCATGTTTTTCAGGGCAAAAAAGTCATCTTATATGCCGGCAAATACGGTAACTAATCATCCAATATTTACACAGTGTGTATGTTATTCTGTGTTGGGAGTGAAGGATGTTTGAACTCTCTTAGATAGACTGTCTAAAGGAGCGTGTCTCGGAGTAGGCAGGCGTTACTCCAGAACGCTGGCCCTTCCCGGCGGAGTCCCTCGGGCTTTCCCGCAACAGAGTCCTCTTGCAACGCGTCCGCTAGGTCAGCCAAATGATCCCGGCGGGTCACCGGAAACGCCCTCCAGAAATCCCTGGGGCTGCAGCGGCAAGGCGGAGTGGCAGGGGCCGTGGGAGGAGCAGGAAGGCGGGCAGCCTTCACATGGCCCTGCCTGGGGCGACAGGAGCAACCCACGCTCTCGCTCCCCCCAGTCGCTGCAGCCTCGGGCAGAGCGAGGCGAGCGGGATTCGAACCTGATTCAGAGACGCGGGGAGGCTCTTGGCGGAAGCGACGCGGGGGATCCGGGAAGCCAGAGGCGCCTTCGCTGCGTCCCACAAGCATCCGAAAGCCGGCAGTGGATATACCGTATTTGCCGGCGTATAAGACGACCCCCCCACTTGGAGGCATGTTTTTCAGGGCAAAAAAGTCGTCTTATACACCGGCAAATACGGTATCTCATAATTAAACTGAATTTCTATATATATTAACCTGATGATGGTTTCTCAATTACATTACTGTAATTGCTATTTTGTGCAGGCCATCCATTCAGAACAGTTGAATTACTATTAATGTATCTGTCTGTTAATGCTAAGAAGTGATCTGATACAATTAAACTCTTAGATATTTTAATCTAGAATTGAGATCTGAATGAGTTGTTGTAAAATAATTACATATATTTTCAAAAACAATGATATATGATGGTACTATCACCAGTAATGGGTATATCACTTTTACACAGAAGACATATTATCCTGTAGGCACAGTTAAGATCCCTATTAGGGAGAATCAAACTGAAATTAATGAAAAGAGTCCTTGCACAGGATATATCTTTATGTATATTTCCTGCAGCATAGATAGCAAAGCATTCCTCTAATGAAAGGAATTTAATTTAACTATTCTATCATCTATAATGCCCCACAATGCTTATACAGATTTTAAAGTCAGTTTTGATTTCTTCTTGAATAATTTACACTAATACATACCCAACAGCCTATATAAATTTAGCTAAAACTGTTAAAAATAAACTCCAAATCAATATGAATTGAAACATTAAGCTATTAATTTATTGCTGAAAGTTCAATAGTAACTAGTCAGCCTTTGAAAGTTGGCAGAAAAATTTCTGAGAAATACTGTGTAATCAATCCACACGGAGGGAAATAAGCAGTGGGGTGCCACAAGGTTCCGTCTTAGGCCCAGTACTCTTCAATATCTTCATTAACAACTTAGGTGAGGGAATAGAAGGGGAACTTACCAAATTTGCAGATGATACTAAGCTGGCAGGAATAGCTAGCACCCAAGAAGATAGGCTTAAGATCCAGATGGATCTTGAAAGACTAGAACACTGAGCCGTATCCAACAAAATGAAATTCAATGTAGAGAAAAGTAAAGTCCTACACTTAGGCAAGAAAAACCGAAAGTACACCTATAGACTGGGTGAAACCAGGCTCAATAGCAGTAACTGTAAGACGGATCTTAGAGTCTTAGTGGACAACCAGCTAAATATGAGCCAGCAGTGTGCAGCAGCAGCCAAAAAAGCTAATGCAATCCTAAATTGTATTAACAGAGGGATACAGTCAAGATTAAGGGAAGTACTAATACCACTCTATAAAGCCTTAGTAAGACCACACCTAGAGTACTGCATCCAGTTTTGTTCACCACATTATAAAAAAGATGTTGAGACTCTAGAAAAAGTACAGAGAAGAGCAACCAGGGTGATTAGGGGACTGGAGGCTAAAACATACAACAAATGGTTGCAAGAACTGGGCTTGGCTAGTCTAGTAAAGAGAAGGACCAGGGGAGACATGAGAGTAGTCTTCCAATATTTGAGGGGCTGCCACAGGGAGGAAGGGGTCAAGCTATTTTCTAAAGCGCCTGTAGACCAGACAAGGAATAATGGATGGAAACTGAACAAGGAGAGATTCAGCCTGGAAACAAGGAGAAACTTTCTGACAGTGAGAACAATCAACCAATGGAACAGCTTGCCCTCGGAAGTTGTGGGAGCGCCATCACTTGAGACTTTCAAGAAGAGATTGGACTGCCATTTGTCAGAAATGGTGTAGGATCTCCCGCTTGGGCAGGGGGTTGGACTAGATGACCTACAAGGTCCCTTCCAAATCTGATTATCTGTTATCTGTTATTTAACCCTAGAAAGAAAGAAACCTGGAATTACAAATAATCCAGATTTTATTGAAAAATGCTAGGATTATAATATCCAATAGCAATTCAGTAATTGTATAATAATATGTAAGTAGTAAAACATTTTACTTGATTTGTTCAGCTCTTGATGTTTCAGTCAAAACCTGGGTATTCTAATACTCACTTTTAGCATTAAGCCACACATGCTGAAAATCATCCCTAGCAAATTCATATAATCTGGTGTAGGATCCTCTAAAGTAGGGTTGTTTTCTGTAGTTGGAGGCTTGTATCTGCAAATAAAAATTCATCATAAGGAAAAGCAAAAGAATTACATTGTATTCAAACCCAAAATAAATATTTCTAGCAACAATTCTGAAGTGATGAGCAAAACATAAACTCTGCTTTCCCTGCAAAAAATAGAACTTTCATACAAGTTCAAAAAAAAAAAAAAAGAAATGGTATCAATATTCAGTATTTTTCCCCAAGTGAACTTCAGCACACTGCAGAAAGCTCTCTCTCTAAATTTTAATTAAGGCTATTCTGTTTCAACCACTTCAAATAATAAAGACCAAACAATAGGAGAAGAGTCTTGTTTTAATATGGACAAAAAAGAAAAACAGATTATGAGTAAATTAAATTAAACTCTATAAAATTTGTGTACAGGTAGTCTTTGTTTGAGAGCCAGTTTGGTGTAGTAATTAAGGCATCAGGCTAGAAATTGGGAAACCGGGAGTTTTAGTCCTGCCTTAGGTATAAAGCCAACTGGATGACCTCGGTCTAAACATTTTTCTTAATCCTAAAAAGGAGGCAATGGTAAACCTCTTCTGAAAATCCTTGCCAACAAAACTAGAGAGACTTTTCCAGTCAATATCCAAGAATCAAACATGATTGAATGGAAGGAAAAAAGGAATTCTTATTTAGCGATTGCCTTGTTTAGAGACCATCACAGTTACGGCAGTGATGAAAAAGTAACTTTACAAATCCTCACATTTATGACCCTCACGGCTCTGTAAATAAAGGAAAGCTGGAGTAAGAATATAAACATTGTAGTTTCACTTAGTGACCATTTCCCTTAATGATAAGACTTGCTAGTCCCAGTTCTGGTTGTTAAAGTGTAATCTAGTATATTAAATAGTATAATAAAAACTATATGATGAATTACTGGCTAACTGTGTAAGTGTAACTGTGTAAATATGTAAGGCTCACAAAGGTAGTACTTAGGCAATCAGACCAAGACTGCCTTCATTAAATGTTGTGGGTGTAAAACATGACATCACCAGATTGCATTGTTGAATGATGGCAATCCAGGCAGTCCCAGTTTCTGTTGTAATCCCTGGAGTGAGAAGAGGTACGAGTCCCAAGTAAGGAGCACAGGAGGAATTGTGCAGGTGCCACAGGAGGCACTGCAGGCACTAGGAAGCACCAGCAGATTGGTGTGGGCCCCAAGTGTACTATAGAGCAGTGGCCCCCAACCTTTTTTGTGCCGTGGCCCGGTACCGGCATCACAAAATGATCCGCGGCCCGGTACCGGCATCAGCACGCATGACAAGGCAAGGCGAGCCGAGCGACCGGCCAGCCAGCCGTCCCCCGCTTCTCCCCGCCACCTTCAACTCCTCCTTTGTACCTTTGTCGATGGGCTTCGCTTTGGGACGGCTTTGGGACGGTCGCTCGGCTCGCCTTGCCTTGGGTGCTGAAAAAATCCTCGCGCCTTAGTTTCGTTCGAAGCCCCCCCCTTCGATGAAACTAAGGCGTGAGGATTCCTTCAGGACCCAAACGCTGCTTTCCAATCGGAAAAGCTCACCTGGAAGCACTTTCTCGTCAAACAAGATGGCAGCGCCCAGCAAACCGGTGGCCCGGTAGGAAATGTTCCACGGACCGGTACCGGTCCGCGGCCCGGTGGTTGGGGACCCCTGCTATAGAATACGAGATCTCTGGGATCTCATAGTCCATAATGAGCTCCTCTGGGAAAAAAAGCAGAAAAAAATTACTTACTGGAGCGACTTGCAAGCTTCCCTGCCAGTTTTCCCATTGACAGTTTGCGCAAAACTGGCATAAAAGCCCTCAAATGGCAATCACATGATGTGGCTTGCTGTGATGTCATAATTGTGAGCTGGGCACCCAAGCTCCCAGATCGTTATCAGACAACCATAGGGATGCTGCAACAGCTGGAACTTCAAGGGCTGATTGTAAGTCCATAGTTCCAGTGGGTTCAGCACCACTGTATCTTTGAATGGTTAATGAACATACGAATGTAAACCAAGTACTATCTGTGTAGGCAACCAGCTTCAAGGGCTGGTTGTAAGTTTGTGGTGTAGTTTTTCAGTGCCACTGTAACTTTGAATGGCCACTGAATGAATAGACATAAACCAAAGCCTATCTGTATAGGCAAAACTAACATTTAAGGGCCAGAAATCAAGTTGCATTATCTCTCTTTATTGGATTCCCTTGACCAAAGGGGCTTTTTAAAATAAAAACCATGAAAAAGATATAGAGCTCTTTTCTATTCTTTCTTCTTACTATGTTGGCCTATTTAGTTTGTTGTATGCCCTGGACATCCCACAGGTTGTTCAAAAGTTTGCTTGACAGAAAAGAGTAAAAGCAGCGGTACAGATTACTCCTTAATCATAAAACATCTCAATGCAGAGAGATTGCAAATCTAGTACAAATTTGCAACTTGCTGTACACTTACTTGGATATAAATCCTTCTAAAATCAATTGGTATAGCCGTAAGTTATCACACATATGATTGTACAATCTAATTTGTAGTAGCCCAATTTAACTACATTGTTTAACAAGGGTATATTTCTACAGCTGCACTTGGCATTACTGAATTAGTTACCACCATCTGCTCTTAGTTATTTCTTAAATTTTGAGATTAAACAAAAATAATACCCAGAAAAACTACTGGAAAAATGTGACTATTATGGCAAAAACAAATCATGTTGTACATTATCTTAATTTCAGATAAGACAAACATGATTATCAGGATCAGATCTGATAGTTGAAGTCATGAGATTAAATTTCACTTGAACAGTAGGAGTGCTTTGGAATTGTTGGAAGAAATGTCCATCTAGGTTCAGTTCCAAGTAGGGAGAAAGACACTGGAAACACGGAGGCTGCTTGGAAGGATTGTTTAATGGTGAACAGGACCACATGGGTTTGAAGTCCTGAATAGCTCACCACATGGAGTGGAGAGTGAGTGTCATTTATACCCTCTCTTGGGCTTTGAACTTGAGCTTCCTATTCCTGTGGCAAGGGCATGTATTCTATTGGTTGCAGACTCCCATGTGGAGTCATGTTTGTCTGAATTAAGGTTGGTTGAACCTTAGGCTGATGTAATGAAGAGGCTTGGTTGTGCCATGTGGTGAGCTCTGCTGATACCATAGATAATCCTATTATGTCCTGGAGGGTCATGTCTTAATCCCATCACCTTGGAGCTGAGGTCTTTTGTTCTGTAGATAGGCTGCCTCAGTCCTCAATGGACACCAAATATCTGCTGGGGCCAGGGAGCTGCAAGAGCTGCTTTGTCTTTAAAAACATGTTTCTTCTTTTCTCATCCAGGGAAATATAATATTCTGCCTTTTTAATGTTTCCTAAAATATTTCATTCTTCTAAAAGGGGTGGGTGTTAACTTTCTTCAGAATAACAAAAGCAATTGCTGCATTCTCATTGGGAATCTCAAGCTCTGTGATGAGCAGAGCATGGGATTAAACCACCCTTCCCCACCTTTTCACATCCTTCTTGATATGCATTTATAATGGATTTTTAAATGTAATCATGAAAATGTATTTCAATACTATTTTACAGATTCATATGCAAACAACCACTCCACTTTATTTCTTCATTCAGTTTTCCAATGTACTTCCTGAAACTCAAGCCATAATTACTAGTTTTTGTTTTTACTAAACTTCACTACATGTATTCTATAATGCAGAAAAAATATGTCCACATTTTATCTAAGGTATATTGCCTCTTCCCTCATGCATATCAAGTAGTATAGCAAGACCTCAACCAAACATAAAGTTACTCATAATTTAATAATGCACTTTTAAAATAAAAGGACTTGAGCCATGCCTATCCTATTTCAATATACCAATGCATTTTTCTCTAAACTGAAGCTTTAGTTTGAAATTAGCCATATCAAACTATGTTATGCTTTCCCAGGCTTTATTCAGGTAACAATTTATCCTTGCTTTGAAGTTGTAATATTAAGTATCCCTGGGCCTTTCTACATAGTCATCAATTAGTACAACTACTAAAAGTAGTTACGCTAGAGTTAAAAGAACTGGGCAACAAAGAAAAAAACCCACATCTCTTGTTATCATTTCATTTTTTGTGTGTGTGTATACATACATACATACATACATACATATATTTTCTTAAGTTTTCGCGGGTACTTACATGTATGGTATTCAGCTTTGTTTGGGTATTTTCCCACGTCATTATAGTTGTGCTTTTAAAGTTTTAGCAACGTTTCGGCAGAATCTCATCTGCCATCATCAGGCTTCTGTATTG